AAAAAAAAGGTGTTTTGTAAAAAGCATCTCGTCGTTTCAACACATTTCACAAGACATTGACATTATGAGTCTCTTTAATTTTTCAGGTTATGATATTATCTTTAAAGAGATGGCGCCACATTTGGAGCTAAGAAAAGAAGAAATAAAGAAAACTACACGAATGTATTGTTTCCAGTTGTAGGAATTAAAAGTAATTTAAGCTTTTTGTATTATTACAATAAAAAGTTTGATGTTCTTTATGATCGAAATATTTTTACCTGATTAAAATATTTTCTTTTTTGTTCATTACAAAGCAAAGTTCCTCTAAATAAAATTAAACCATAATTTTAATTGTATTCCAAACACATCAATTCTATAAATAACAATGATAAATTATCCCTTTCAGATTCTGCTTTGTATAAAATTGTAAAGAAAATAATTACTAATAACATAGCACAATTTTACAGCAACTTTCGTCTTAACTGTAAGAATTAAAATGAAATTCAAATACCATAGATGTATCATTAATACCAATTATCAATTATTATTTTATAATTTTCTATTTTACTTCTTAAATTTTAAATCTTTTATTATTCAATTATCATAGTATCTTTTAACCTTAACATATGATTTATTCCCGATATATTAATTCAAATGATAAAAATGGAATGAAGGCTGTCTTGTTTCCCCATCAGATATATTTTGTGTGAAAATATAAAGAAGACAAATTCCTACGCAGACTTTTATTTTTGGCAACAAAAAATAGGATAAAACGTAATTATTATAATAGATATAGTATTGCTATCAATTTTCTCGATTGTATTACACACGGGGGAAGAAATTGTGGTAAAATACCATATAGTATGGTAATGACATTTCTCGTAAAAAATAGAAAATAATAATAAAGAAAAAATACACGGTATTTAAACCGCTCATGCAGTAATTTTTCCGTTCATATAGTAAGTGCTTATTGGAAGCTCTGATTTTCGAAATTATAGTTCTTATAATAGCAACTTTAGGAAAAAAATACAAAACTGAAAAGTAGATTTAACAGAATAAATGGTTTTTATGTCTTAAGTTAATTTTACTACACTTACCAAATTTTATCATAGATTACAAATATGCAATTAATGCATCGGGCAAAATCTTGCGTAAAAAGTATTTATCCTTGGTATTTAAATTACTGAAGTTTTTTTAATTTTATTTTATTTGCATTTAAAGAAAGATATAAATTAATTAAATAGTTTAAATCACGCAAACTTGAAAACTTTTTAACAGGAAATTAATTTTTGTAAAAATAGCGTATTATAATTCATTTGTGCATTCTAGAGTCAGAGGTAAGAAATTTGACTTTTAAACTTGCTTAACTAATCCAGTTAACTATGGTTAAAATTTGAAATTTAAATCGATTTAGTTTTATTAGCCCCTCTTTATATTCCTTAGAAAAGCATATCATCTCATAGGAAAGAACAATAGAGATCTTCTCGGAAAAAAATGGATTCTTTAAAATCAATTATCTTAATTTTGAATGCAGTATTTTATATACTAATCAAACTTTGGCTAGCAGTTATTTATGTTTTATTTTTTTTCTAGTATCAGCCAAATTTTATTCTTTAAATATCATCTATTGAATACTATAAAATATTTGATTTGATACGATTAAACGTTTGATTATACATTGTAATCATTTCACCCAAAAAAGTCAAAATTTTTTATTTAAAAAAAAACAAACTACAAAAAAAAACTTAAAGCATGAAAATTGCACCAGAAATCTTAAAACGAAACTCTAAATAATCTGGAAATTATAATGAACTTTTATTCAAATTTTCGATTGTTAATAAACATTATTTTAACATATTTTTTTAACCGTCTAAAATTGTTTAAAAAATAAAAGATTTTGTAGGAAATTTTATAAATTTAACCAGAATTAATTCATCACGGACGTTTTATATTCCCTTAAAAAAACAAGTTGAGCTAAGTTTATGTAACTGTTCGCATGTTGGTTCGTTTCTTTTCTTTTTATTCTATTTTTACGGTCAGAAACACACTCAAGTATTAATTAAGCATCTTAATCTGGACTATCCTCCCGAACTTTCATTTAAATCAATCTTACATTTTTAAGAATTCTCAATTATCAACGAAAACATTACTTTAATTGTTTAAAAAAAAGATACAAAAAAGACTTTAAAGATGCGAAGAAAAAAAAGGGTTTTTTGAAAATATTCTTAAAAAATGACTAGAATTTGTTCAATTAGATTTTTTTTCCTAATCCTTATTAATGAAGTTAAGACGCTTGCTCTGCTTCATTGTGAATTTTTTTATTTTTTGGTTAGAAATAATTATTGAAGTATTATTTAGCCGTGACACCGAGAAAAAGAACTTTAATTGAAACAAAAATATATTTTTTGGTCTCAGCCTGAGAAACAAATTCATGATTAGAACTAATTATTAACAATCTAAAGGATATTTAACGTAACATCTAAACATTCTTGGATTAGATTTATAGAAAGAAAAAAAATAAAAGATCCACTAGATTTAAGCATTAATCTCTATGCATCTACTTCCTCTTGTCCTTGTAACATTTGTGGTTGGATAAAAGATGTTAAGCCCACTTCTCAACAAAATGTATATAATTGATGTATGCAATGAACGTAAATGATTTATAACGAAAATAATACTAAAATTTTGACTTAAGAAAATAAACTTTGCATCTAGAAGGTAAAGCATAAATAAAAAAGGTAGATACTGTAAAGATTCATCATTTTGTTTTCGTTTTGACATTACCTAAAAAAACATTTTTTTTTAATCCATTAAAGGGAACAATTAAGAAAAATTAACGATATTCAGCTTATGCTTTTACCACAAACATTAGCGTAGAAACATATTACCGATTATACTTATGATCGCTAAAACTTCACTCAGAAAAATTTCTCACATAGAAGCAGGGTTTATACTGATTTTTAACATAGATAAAAAGGTGCATTTTTTTAGTAAGCATTTATCTCACTCTTTAATACCCAAGGAGAAATAAAGATTTCTAAAAGAGTATTTAAAAATTAATAGTTCCTATATGGGTAAGACTTACATATACACCTCGAAAAAATGCTAACTATTGAATTATATAGTTTATATACAAAAAACAATTTGGTACATTTTTCTTAAAAATATTTTTGAACTAGAAATGCAATTAGTTACAAATATGCTTAAAAACATTAAACTCCAAAACCCATTGTCTTTTTCTTAAATAAAGAAGAGCATATTTTGATAATTAAAAAAATTTATAAATAAGGTACAGATAATAGCATAATTCATTTATTACACAGGATGATCGGTTAACATGCAATACAAGATGGCATATATATATATATATATTTTTTTATTATTAATTTATTATCAAAACAATATACAGTGGTTTTACAAACCAATATATTTGTTTATAAAATCACTGTGTGTAAACTCCTTAATATTTGTTCTTAAAATCATTGTAAAATTGAATGGAAGATTGACACTTTAAGGAAACGGAATTATTGTCTAATTCTGATAAAACGCTTAATAAAACAATAGACTATATGTGAAGGGTTATAGCACTAAACTACACTTTAAAAAAAGTTGATAACTTTACGTCAAGCTGTTCTTTATTACTGTTTCCAGATCAGATATTGTTTGTAAGTTTCCGTGGAAAACATGAACAAATAAAAAAATAAGCGGAAACATCTTATTGCCTGTAAACCGTGATGTTTTTCCCCAAAAACGTTCTTGAAAGGTTCCTTTTAATAATTTGAGAATATGTCTTAAAATATTGACACAATACTTCTTTTTAAGGGAGATGGCAATACGTCCATTTTTCGAAAGAGACTATTTACACAAATAACCTGGCTTATGAAAAATTTTAACACTTCGTTTTGATCAATCCCGATAATAATTCGTCACTCGAGTAGTAATCTCTTCGCTTAAATAATGATTATAAAAGGATAATCTAGGAGGGTACATTGTAAAAAATTTCAAAAAGTAATTTTGACTCAAGAAAATGTTTCTGAAAATCTCATGAAACTTCATTTAATATCATCTTTCCGATCAATTGAGAAACATATCCATTATTTTCGAAAGTTGGAAACTGAATCGCATTGACAACGATTCAGAGTGGAGCGTTGCTACCACTATAACTATTAAATTCCAATTCACTAATATATAAGACATGTTAACTCGATTACGTCTTGAGTACCTTTTGTTAGATGGTGGTTGACATTGTTGGTAACCTAACCTCACAAGAGGTATCCGAAATATTAAGAAACGTTTCTGAATATTAAAAAAAAAATCCGAAAGTGCAAGAAGTGATTCAAAATATTTATTAGCATTGCGAAATGTTCTTGAATATTACAGAAAGAGGTTTCCGAAATATGTAGAAACTTTATTGAAAACTGCTTGCACCGTAGTTGCACCATATATTCAGAAAAATTTCTGGATTTTTCTTAGTGTCCTCTCTTGCCCAAAATTTGGGGTAACACTTTCATACCTATTAAAAATAGCGGGGACTAGTTTAAAATATTCATTGAAAGACGAGAGCAGGATATTACAATAATGATGACAAAATTTCTAAAAAATTTTTTACTAATGTACTCTAAATGTCTATAAACATTTAATTGAAAAAATTACCTGGAGAATTATAAGACAATAGAATAACTTTGAAAAATATCAAAAACACGACCCATGATTCGTACAAAAAATCTGATTTATAGCAGAAAATCTGATCTTGTGAAAAAGCATAATTTTATAATTTGAGAATTCTTCATCCTTTTTTAAAAAAATACACAAATTTTTGATGTAATTGTATTGATATCTATTATATTGCAGAAAGAGAAACTGGATCCATAAAACTATTAATCAATCAATACAATCAACAGGCTAAACACGTGGTGCAGTGTAGCTGAAAATTCTTAAATGGGGGGAAAAACACTTGATGGAAAAAAAAAGTCAAAGTAGAAGTAAATAAATAAAATAAAGGACGAAAACGGTCCACTTACCACCAACGTAAGCCGATGATGCCGCGGCGTTAATGTCAAGTGAGCGGAAGTCCAGTTCTAACTGTCACTTTGCCTGAACCCTGAAATCTATGACAGGAAAAGCAGAAGATTCACTAGAGCACAACAAAACCACAGAACTTACGGCTGACACAGAGAACCATCCAACAGCTAGTAAAACTCTCTGTGCCGTTTCCATGAAAGCGTGGCAACGAAAACGACGCCGGCCGCTCGTCTGACTGCACGGCCAATAAGCTGCCAGGTGACCGTGACGTCACGCCAGTGCGTGTGCAATCAGATGTTCCGAATGAGTGCACAATCTGATTAGTTGCCGCGTCCAATCGCGGTACAAGCCACGCCTGTTAAAACCACGCCTTTTCCAACCACCTACTGTAGAAGTGAACGAATACCGCCATCTATTAGAGTTGAATGGTACTGCAGTTAGGGAAGTAATAACAAAGAATGGGGATAAATATACAATACTTTTTGCCGTTATCCCCCGCCCTTCATGACAGTTAGTTAATTTTGATGTCGATTTCAAAGGTAGAGCACGTGCGCCGTTATGACCCCGGCTTAACGGGTATTGAAGTTATTCCAAATCGTTTTGTCACTCTTTTTTTTCTACGATTTTTTTTTCTGTTCCATCTTGCTTCCCAATTTTTTTCCTAAGTTTTTTTCTTGCATTATGTTAGAAAAAAACATTAGTGTAATTGTGTATGACGATAAGATTTAAGACTTCTTATGCTTTAGAACATCTTGTTGTTATAGTGTTTCTTTAAATTTCCCTATAAACAGCAAAAACTTTTTTTTTTAGAGAAAATATGGATATTTAATAATTAATAACTGCTCTCGAACGTATACAACGTTTGGAAAAATACGGGAACCAAGTCAGTTTTTTTTTTCTTTTATAGTAGTTGAACAGCTTAAGGACTTTTTGATGGAGCAAACCCGCATTTGCGTTACATGGAGAGGAAGACAACGAGAACCTCCCACGGTTATGCTGGCGGAAAGGAGACTCTAACCCATGATCCGTCTACCACTAAGGATATTTCACGTCAGCATTGTGGTAGGTGCAAACCGGGTGCGGAATTCGTATCGACTGGGATTCGAACCCGGTTCGCTTAGTTGGAAGGCGAACGCTCTATCTACTGAGTCATCGCGGCTCATCGTACAGCATTTGTAACAAACTCCTCTGCTTCACATCTCTATAGATAGAACGCTTCCGAAAATAAAACCATTGAAAAAATCCCCCCCTCCCTCCGCAAGTAACAAATATTGATGAATATTACAAATAGGAAAAAAGAAAAACGTTATCAAAAGCTAAGTACTATTATTAAGGTCAATAATTGTAAATGTCGAACAAAATTTTATTTTATAAGCTAAAGTTTAATTATAAAAATAATAGAATACTTTCCCAGAAAAAAGTTTAGTTGTTACAATAGCATTTTACTTTATTAATATTGTGAGTCAGTATAAACGTAAAAGTTTGGTACACTAATCGTCATTGGTGATAATCATTGTCAATTTAGTAAGGGGGATGGAAAAGACAAATATTCTTCTTAATGTAATCACTATTCTTACGGTATATTTTTAGAATCCCTGTCAAGAAGAAGTAAAAAGTTATTGTCAATGAAGGTAACAAATTAAAATTTGAGAGAAAGAGAGAGGGAGGGAGAGAGAGAGAGAGAGAGAGAGAGAGAGCGAGAGAAACTTTATCAAAACCTCACATATCATTAACATGGCAAGCGTGATAAAAAACAATAAGCTATGTTAAGTTAAACCACGTAATGTTAAACTGAGAAGAGGTAAAAAGCGACTATTAAAAAAACCTTCAAATTTCATCAAGCAATCAAACTGGTTTTGAGGTTTTTAATATCTTCTTCCGCAATAATAATTCACCAGACTTTGATAATATTTTTATTTTATCCTCTCTCAAATGTTAATTTTTGCTTAATATTGTGTAAGCTTTTTTATTTCATTTTGTCATGAATTCTAAATATATAGAATAAGGATAAACACCCTGTGTTATTCTACAACACCAGATAACTATCGCCAAACAGTGGTTAGTTTTAATGATTTTCCGCTTTGATTTAATCGCTCTTAACTAATGATTTTAAACTAAACCGTGCTGCATTCTCAGAAATAAAACTCTCACTGTGACGATTCAGCAATCCTTGAGCTGTAATTAATTAATTTTGCGAATCATTTTGTCATGAAATCACGTGATTTCTGACAAAATCCGAACTCTCAAATATATGACGAAAATGTTTCCTCAACTCTGAACCTCATTGCAGTGCATTGTGGTAGATTGCTGACTAAAATGACGAGGGAGATTTATCTAGTTAAGACGTTCAGACATTCTATACGATCGAAAATAAAGTAACGAAACGAGCCGACCGGCATGCATGGTGGTCAAGGAGTTGGCTTCGTACTAGAAAATTCCGTAGTTTGAATTCCGTTTCGGGCATGTGTGTAAATTATCTTTCTATTCTACCTGCCTTCTTGCGTTGTTTGGTGGACATTGAACTACTTACATGGTGCCCACCATAAAGTGATTATTAGGAAATCTAGATACATTAAGCGCTAAGAGGATTTTTTTTCTCGAAAAAATATATAAGTAAATAAATAGAATGGAAAAAATATTTCTCTGATTTTTGCGAAATTTGTTTCCTCAAAAAAGTGACGATATGTCGGCACGATGACGAAATTTTTGCCCATAGCTTATATCAGGCTTCATCGAAAACCGAAGAAAGTTTCTTAAAATTTGAGTGTCAAGTTTTTCTTTACAGTGCGCGCCTACCCCGTAATATAGTTTGTCTATAGAAATAACTCCCCATGCCACTAAGGCCGTGTGCTGCTATGGAAGCAAGAAATAGCGTATTTCAAGGAGGGGGGGGGACTTCTTTCTCCCCTGATTCCCTTTCTGTCACCGACCCTACCAAAACATGCCTTAAATAGTGACCTAACACCCTTACTTGAAGTAGTTAAACCTCGTAACCATAGTTACCGCCACTGCTCCAGACGAATGTCTAGAGGAGTTCTTTACATAGGCTATAAATATACTTTCCTGTCAGGTTTTATTAAAAAAATTAATTATTTATTAATTTATCAAGTACTTAGTATTTTTTATACAAAGCCCAATGGAAAGAAGAATTTGTGTATTAAAAGAAACTATCGCGAAACAGATAATTGAAACTTGAATGAAAGGCAGAAATATTCACTGAGTTCGAATCAGTTATTCTAGACGTGTCCATTGATTTAAGTAATGCTCGCTTTCACAGTTTTAAGTTTCACAGTTTTCTTAGTAAATCCTTCAAGAGTTAAGAATATCTTTTAAGTAGATTATATCATCTTAATTCATTGTTCCCGATTCGTTTCTCACTTAACCCTTTCTGCATTTAATCTCTGTTAAGATCATTTACTTCAATGGGATTTCTTGCTTTTGCAGATGTTGTTGAAAAGGTAAGGATAAGTCCATAAACTACACCGCAATTTGTTGAAAGGTAGAAGAAGCGGCTTTTACCTGGTGAGGTTTTTTCTTTAAAAAAAAATCTTTTGAAAATACTTTCACAGGTATAATGCGAAGATTTATCTGTCACAGCATTTTTACCAAGCTTGTATCTGGAGGTGAGCATGATCCTTTCAGATCAAGATTTTGATTTTCTCACGCTTATTTTGCTCGCCAAAGAAAAATATTATATCTTGACAAATATTTATTTAGAATTGATTTATTTTTATTTGTTCTTTAAAAAAAAGAGACTGGAAGCTGCAATATTTTGGACAAATAAATTTACCAAAATATAAATAATTAACATTATTGGAAGGGCTACAATGATTAAAACGAATGATTCCTTGCGTACTAAATATAATTAATTGGTTTCTCAATAATTTAAGACAACACAACAGAGCTTATTTTGACTATCTCATGCATTCATAGTCATAAGCAGTGTATCTGCGAAATTTGTAAGCAATGCAAAAAATAATAAATGCCAAAATTTTTAATTTTTTTTTTTCAAATCTAATTTAAAATTTTTATCTTTAAAAATTTCTCTTTTTTTTCTCCTTTTTTTTCTATTTTTTCTGTAAAACATTCAAGTGAAGCTTTTCACTGAAAATCGTATCACTGCAAGCAACGGTCGGAAGTAGCATACTACAAGTAGTAAACTACTGTAGTCTCTTCTTTTTTTCGTAGTTTTCAGTGTAGTGTGCTATTTTTTTTTTTTTTAAAAAAAAGGAGCAGCGTAATAAAAAGTGTACTAAAAAAAAAAAAGGAAACTGTAGTTTATAGTGATTTTTGGCAACTACTTTTAACGTTAGTTTAGAAAAGAAACACGGTTCTAACGCTACTAATTTTTTGAATTTGAAGGGTAGAAATCTTCCTGAGCCAGACAATGGATGCACTGAAAAGTACTGCACTGACTGCAGCCGAGCGTTAACTTTAATATGAATACCGTATTTAAAATTACTTATAACTAATATTCAGTTTTACTATCACTTGCAAAGGCACACCCGAGTAACATTGATCTTATTTCAAAGGAAGGGATTGAATTTTAGATGTACTTAATTTCTTAGAGGAAGTAAAAGAGCATTAAACAATTAAAAAATTGCAAGTATTTGATAATTTTGCATTTCTTCAATTAAATATTTGCTGACGAAGAAAGGCATGAAAAGTTGAAGGTCAAATGAATAATTCTTAAGAACAAGACAGACACGAGGCCATGTAGAACATAAACAAACTAATAAGGCCTCAACGTTGCCAGGTACACAAAACAAAAATATATCATGGTTACAATAAAAAGAAAAATAATAAATTTAAGTTAAGTAAAATTTGTGGACGAGAAAGAATTATATTCAACAAATTTGAAGTGCGATACGGTATTGTATTTAATTAACTTTACGTTAACTAGCAATTTAACTAACGTGGAGAGACGTAGCTCGACTTTAATACGCCATCTTGCTTATAAAGGTCACATGTCAAAGGTCACATGTGTGGGTATCAGCGATCTTCTTCTTCTGCTTGAAGGGCAAATACCCAATTACTTAGCACCAAAAGTGGTGTTGTGAAACACCATAGATAATTCTTGGTGTAATGAGATACTAAGTATGGTTCTTTACTGTAAGAAATTTGAGTGTATATTTGCATCAAAAGTGGTTTAATGAAACAGAGATAAATCTTATTGTAATCAAATACACGGACTATTTTTGCATAGTGAAATATCAAGAATGCTTTACGCTACTTTTACTGTACAGAA